TAGTAGTAGCAGCAGTAGTAGTGGTGCTCAGGTCAAAATCGTGTCCAGGACCTTATCGCGTCCTTTCAAACTAGTTAAAGAGGGGGAGGGGGTCCCCCTCCCCGCACCTTAAGGTTCATCTGAATCTGTTTAAGCAACATGGCAACTTGCATTTTGCCTTTACACAGCCGAGTGAGTTCACGGAGCAGGTTTAAAGTCCGATGCATCAGTAATTAGCTAAGTTTCCACCAGGACAGTTCGAAGCTGCCCGTACTGTAGATAGCCGACTTGTGAGGTCCGTCAAGGTTCTACGACTAGGGTGTATCTGTATGTATTTGTATGTGGGCCAGTGTAACGAGCCATCATCTTGGAGGTTTGAAGCTTCATGGCAATGCATATGTGCTCGCGTCCTCGCTGCCGAGCATACACGCAACAACGACCGAGCTCTATCGACTCTGCTTCCTTGTTGCCCTAGCTTTCGTGGCCCTCTTCTGAAGTTACGCGCTCTGACTGGGAAGCTTCTTACGTTCCATGTAACGAAGCGGCGCTGGCCTCGCCTCGCGACGACACGTGACAAGTGGAGGGGGTGAGCCGAGTGAGTCGAGGCCCCCGATTGACCACCCAGTGCTCAAATTCGCTTCTGCCTTCTGAAACGGTTTTTCTTTGTCTGTGCAAGTACCATGTGTTGAAGATCAGGCTGATGGAAAAGGAATTGGTCTTCGATTTCCGCGTTTCCTTCGAATCCGAGATGACAAGACTCCGGAGGACGATGGCAGTTGGCCAACTTCCGATGGATCCCAGACATGTGAGGAGTCAACCGGATCCGAGCAGATTGTCGAGATGTTCGAGGCGCAGGCTTCCGTTTCGGGCACTGCAGCCGCTGGGAGCTCCTGCTGATACCAGGCTTCAGACAGGAGGATTGCAGCCACCTGTTCGGCTTAGGTAGACGACGACTTCTGACAGTCGCCAGCCAAAACGGAGATTCAGATCAATTTCAAGGCACCAAGGATCGGTTGCCCGCTTGGCGAGTTCCTTGACTTGTGTCTGAGGCCGGAAGGGCTCCAAGTCGCCGGGGGATTGCACTGGACTCAGCGTACCGTCACAAAGAAGCAACCGGAATCCGTACTTCACTGCTTCGACACGCTGTGGCCATTGAAAAAAAAACCCGTAGGTACAGTCGTGTGAAAGACGCGAAGTCCGTTTGCCTTGCAGCTGGCCCGGAGTCGCCGCACAGTCCGGACCACGGCAAAAAACGCTCTTCTGTGCTGAGGATCTTGAGCCTCATCGGTTCGTCGTTAGATGTTGGCGGATGCTGGTTTGGCCCGTATCGTGCTAAACAAAGCCACTGAAGAAGTCAAATGCTGTGCTGTTGTGTTCTGATCAACATCGCCGCCTAAGCATCGCCAATGTCTGTTGATCGGCGAGGGGGAAGGCAACACGCCTTGATCCGCAGTGTGTGACATCATGCGCGGGGGTAAGCGGATGAACAACGAAAACATGCGTGGAGTTTCGTGCTTGGTTCTGCGCTCCACACCTCGACCTTGTTCTGGTGTTCAGCTTTAAAAGTACCCGATTTGTGAAGCCATGCAGGACTGCCATGCCTCCAACTGTCTCTGTGCTGTTCTGGTCTCTTGGCAGATGCAGGCCTTTCAAGCAGAAGAGATTGAAACAGAACCCGAATCGGAAGACCGCGTGCAGGAGGCAGTGTTGACTTGCTCTTTTGTTCTGTGACCCCACGGCCCATATGTGTGAATGCTGCAGGATTCGGCTACGGCAGCCACGGCTAATGCTTGCTCACAGCCGCAGCAAGTCAAGCTGCCAGGCCCAGACAGCGTCCGAGCTGAAAGAGCGCGGATGCAACCGCCGTGCCATTATGCTGAAACAGCTCGGATGTTCCTAGTACTGTGGCCCCCCAGGAAGGGTTTAGCAACACTTTGCTGTACGCCCCTCGATGCCATCGAAAAACCACTGCAAAAGCTGAGATCAGAACAGTAATCTTCCCGCATCTAGGTCCAGACAGGGCCTAGATGCTTGGCTGCTCCACTGTCCTTGTGTAGTCTTCCGCAACACTAGAAGATTCGACTCATCTTGCTGCTTCAACGGCCGTCGAAATATTTCACTCTGTGGAGTGTCTGATTATTTTGACAGACATAGGAACATGTGGAACCGACGCCGCCAGTATTAATCAACTTGGACGCGCCATTAAGGAACATGAAGCTGCACACACAGCCAGTGGTTGGAGGAGTGGCTTTCCGGCTGCGCATGCGTTGAAACCGTAGGGGGGAGTCAGCTGTAACTTCCTCGTGGCTCGTGGTGACATCGATGAGTTCCGAACGTTGGAAAGCATGCATAATTCAGACATCAAGATTCAGATGCCAATGCTCAAGAACTATCAAATCAATCCGATTTCCAAGACTCAAACACCCCGTCTGTTTAATCCAATGAGCCCCGTTGCAAGACTGAAAATCCTCGTGACAGAGTCATGAAAGAAGGGGAGACACGACAAGTACCGCATTTCAGACCCTGGAAGCCGCTGGAAGCCGTCCGGTTTGCTTCAAACGATCCGCGCAGAAAGCGATTTCCTTCCGCACGAAATCCTGAGGCTCTTGTTTGGAGCAAGGTTTGATGTGAGAGTCTGATGGCCGAGATGGTCTCCGGGGCTAGCTGAGTTTCTTATCAACCGAAGGTTGCAACAAGGGGTGTGGGGCCTGAAGGTGGCCCCTGGACCGGTTTCCGAGCCAGGCCCCACCTGGAGCTGGATTTAGCCGTGGGGCCACTGGGTCGGTGTCTGGAAGTGGTCTTTCAGACCGCTCCAGAATGGAGAAACGAGCCCCCGATGATGCTCATGATGCTTGCCTGTTGGCTCCGATATGGGCCCCGATTTGCTGGCTTGGGTTAGGACTCCAAGTAGGATTGCGTTGCTAGCGGCTGTTGTGCTGAATCTCTACGTTTGCAAGCCTGTTCTGTTGCTCTGCCTAGCTTTCGTCCCAGTCCCTCCTCCCCAAGTAGTTCGACTACAGCAAAAACAAAGTAGTACTCGATTCGGCCTCCCGACGGGACATATCCGTGCAAGTTTCCGAATAAGGGTGTGCTCCACCCAGTTAGCACCGGTTGAAGTCTCTCTGCCAGACGGCCGACTGGAGTGCGAGTTCTGCGGTCGCAAGTTCAATCCAGCCAGCTATGCGCGACATCAACCCGTTTGCCAGAAGGCGCCGCCGATGTCACAGACGGGTTTAGAGTCTGTACAATGCGGGCAGCTTAGTTAGAAGGATGCTACGGCAGCTTGCTCCGCAAGGTGTTTGGCAAAACTCGGCCGCAGTTCATGCCAGCTTATACGGTATCCAAGGCGCGCCACGCCGCCGCATCACAGTCTATCCCATGTGGTTTGCTGTTACAGCGGTGACTGTGAGGCGCCTCCAGCAGCTCGAGGACAAGGCAAGTGTTGCAGAATCTCAGTGGGCCGAACCGCGACCAGTCAAGGCACTGGGCAGGAGCAAAGTCCTGGCACCTTGGAGAAATCTAAGCTCGTTCCATTGCCTGCATTCTTCCTTCGAATCGAAACCTGCCCAAGTGCGGCAGGTGGTTGAAGGGCTAGACCTTTCTGCCAAGGTCCTCCGGTGGAAGCGAAGAGCGAAGCGAACAGCGGTCTCAACGATCACCCGTGCATGGGAGACGGCCGCGGGCCATTAGCTGATACAGTCGGTGCGCCTTGCTGAGATGGCCTTGCACCGGCATTTTAGCATGGATTCTCGGTTCAGCGGCTATGTGGACGGGTTTTGACGCAGGTACAATGCCGGACAAGGCCAGCCACTCACTGGCTTTCGCACTAAGCTTTCAGAGATCTTTCACTTCAGCTTGACTGCTCTTGTTTGGCTCAGATTCATCGCGCGCTTCCTTCGAGGTCCAGGACAGAAACCGGCTTGGGTGTCCAGCTTTAGAAGCTAATTATTCCTGAGGAGTTTCAGAGTTCCTGATCAGTGCTTACGGTATGCCGCACAATCCTTTTCATGGCTTTTCCTTCGGGCCGAACCTGCAGACTGCCGAACAGCGTTGTCGAGACTGTGTTTCGGATTTCACAGCCCACCTAGACCTCAGCAACCCTTGAGCATCTCGTCCTTCCATGTGGAAATGGGTAATGACAAAACTCGGGCCGGGCAGGGGGGCTTACCTCCTTGACATTCTTGACTATACATTTACTGACTTATACGTTTTGGTGTGGGGATCAAAGGCCCGCCTGATGAACCGATCGTGCCGGGGAATTGGTGATGTGTTTGGTCAGTCGGGCACATTCGCTGCTGTCGTTGATTTGGCTCTAGTGTTCGCAGCTTACGGGCCTTTCTGGTCTTTGCATGCGAACACCAGAACGAGGCTCGGCGTGACCAGAGTTTTGTAGCTTTTGTCAGGGTGTGCTTCAGGCATTCGTCGTGTGTGCGATGAGTCATTATGCCAGCCGCCTGAGCGAAAAGACGCCCTCTGCTCGGTCTTCCGCTCCGGCTTCGGCTTTGGTTCCTAAGGTCCCCCTTCCCAATGTGACCTTCGAGCCGATCGACTTGGAGTCGGGGTCTGGGGCCTACAGGCCTTCCTTCAGCACTTCTGGCGTCGCTGAGAGCCGGAGGCTTGGAGACGTCTTTCGAAGTGTCACTCCGAGCTTCCTCCGAAAGGAGGAGGACCAGGCCCGGCTGTGCTTTTGTTTAGGCAGTCCGGTGAGCCTGCAAAAACCGTAAGGAGGACGAGGATTTCTGGAAAACATGCTGTCCAGACATAACCTACAAGCAGAGAGCTACCGGCCTGGCCCTGAAATCTACACTGGTGCTTCCCTGCCATGTTCTCTGGCCATGCATGAGGTTGGGCTGCATGTTTCGGTCAGAATCTCGGCTCCCCACGAACTTGACAGTGTCCACAGAATGAAAAGCTAGGTCTAGGCTTGCTGCTGCAAGTCTTGAGTCTGGGCTCGCTGCCGCTGGGCTGCAGCTGCCGAGTTCGAAGTGCACCGACAGCGCCTGGCTGCCTGGCTGAAGGTCTCGAGCAATGCTCGGCCATCCCAGCCGCTTCGCGCTAACATACACCCTAGGGTCCTTGCCTGAGACGTGCCGGCGCCGGCAAGCCCCTCCGACAGCCTGCAGACGTTACTGCAGGAACATGGTGGCGCTTATCGGAACCTTTTTCCTGGCCGGGGTGCACAGTTACAATACCTCGCCATTTACGCGCTTACATTCATGAGACAAAAACGTGACGTCGACTGAATGAACCCTTGCCGGATCGGCAGCGGCTCATTGCTTTGAGCCTGTTCCTCGCCACACCTGAGCAACACCCTGTAAGCAGGAGTGCTACATTGTCGTGCGCCGCCTTGGACTTGCAGGCCGGACCCAGACGGCAAGTCCGCAAGATGGCAGACAAGAGCAGGGCGCGCTCCTCGGCGCCACGTCGCTTCGTCGCACTGCAACGCGCTGAAGGGCACTGCACACCACGAACTGGCTGCAGGCAAATACGTCGACAATCTTCCTGGTGTCAATGATTTTGACACTGCTGGGCCTTCAGGCTGATGCAGGGAGTCATATTGTATCAGCATTGATGTTCTATCATTCAAAGGTTCTGAGTCCGAGACTTTCAACCATGAAGCTCGTGTATACCAGCAACAGGATAATGCAGTATCTTCTGCTTGTCAGGTACCACATTTCTTTGGTCGTTCGCTGGTTATCCTGGCCTTAGTTGGCCTACAATGGCCAGCGCCTGAACTAAGCAAGAAATCGCCGCAGCCCTCCAGACTCTCCATTGTTTAGTCGAAAGCCCGTGGCACAGCTCTACACGCCGAGGGCCTCCCTTGCGTGGTACACGCTTTCATACATCCCGTACGGACAGCGGCTCGCGACCACTGTTCTGAAGAAATGTCATGCCCTTGGTGCCACATTTGACAGTCGTTTCGCCGCATGATGGAGTAACTTCAAGGTTTCGGATGGTGCTGCTTCTGACTGCTACTTCCTGAACTTTCAATGGACATGTTCTTTGTCCAGACTTGATACGCTCAAGTCTTCCGAATTGCGGACACATGTACATATGCACGACTGGGCATGTACCAGACATTACGCAATGCGTTGACTGCATGCTTACAAGGTGGCACTGCCCTTTGGAAATTCTCACGCCCACCCGTGGATCCGGGGCCACCGCCGGTGTCGAGCACGCCGAGCCTTGAAGGCTTTGCATAGGCTCCCGCGCACATGCTGTGCCGAAGAACAGAAACTCCGTCATCATCTCAAAACGATTGGATGAGCTACTTGTAGCATGTCAGTAGCCTGGGAAGTGGTGGAGTCCAGGACCACTTTTGCCTCGGCATCAGAGACCTGGTCGATGGCTCAGCAGACTGTCGATTGACACCAGTGCTTTTTCGCACCACTTGCTCTGCTATTCGCAGGAATATGTAAAGTTTAGCCCCTTGTTGCGACTAAATATTTTGCAAGTGACCTGTGCATGCCGATTTGGGAAAGTTGAAGGTTCGATGGTCGTTCAGTTTATGCTTCAGTCTACAGCATCAGGGCACAACCGTCTCCACGAGACCCATTAGACACATGCTCTTGCAAGCGCTCAGGGATCCAATCTGCGACGACCTTCAGGACGCACCCTGCTGTTGGCAGCCACAGGCTACACATGACTTGCAGGCCACAAATCAGCTGCAGTCGAAGTATCAAGCGCTCAGGGATTTGCCATGGGTGCACAGACATCGCGTCCGGCAAAGCGACCTCGCCTTTCCCAAGCTACCCCGGCCAGGCCGGTGCCCGAAGGAACCCGGCGCTTGCGTCTGAATATTGCAGGCACACGAATCGAGGCCACCAAGCACACGCTCTGCGCTCTCGGACCTTCTTATTTTACAAGCTATCTCACAACAAGGGTTCCGACAACGGATGAAATTTTCATAGAAACAACCGTTGTAGCTTTCGACGTGATTTTTGGGGCCATGCTTGTCGCGCAGGCAAGCCTGACGAAAGCGATCCATGTCATACATGATGGACTGGATAAACATGGATGCGTGCTGCATCATCTGCTAGACTTTCTAATGCTGAGCTGGATTGTAGGCAAACCGTTTCACTTGCCACCAGCACTTTTATCTTCCGTGTCTGGTGACAGCGCAGCTTTCTTCAAGGCTGGTGACTTTCTGGATCAAGAGTTCATAAGCTTGGAACTGGGTTTGCGATCCCACGGCTTGCAGGGCGGCGTCTTCGAGTATTTGCGCAGTAAACGACAAAACCTTTGTGCTTATTGCTTTCAAGCTGATGGAAAGATGTCAGTGCGCGGCACTGTGCATGTATCTGCCGAGTGCAACTGTCAAGACACAGAGGCTTTTGTTCAAGGCAACGTCAACGTGGGAACGACGATGGAGTTGGCCAAGCGCCTGGAGTCCAGGCCTGCGGCTGAGCGCAGAGTTGCCATCTTGTCTGAGCTCTACAACGATGGTGACCAGTGTGGAGAAGGCTTGAATCTCTACTTGGAGGAAGCAGCCTTTAAAGATAACGAGGAGGATTCGGATGCCTGCGAATACGTGGCATCACGTCTTGTTTTCGATTTGGGACCAAAATTCATGCTTCGACTGCAAGGTGCTCTCGTTGGCCTTACATCCAACACCAGAGTGCCATGTAAATGCTGCGTGCGACTGGACATCGCAGACAGCCATGCGGAACTCAAGAAAGGCAAGCCAGGCGGCTTTGCTGGAGACCTCCATGCAGACATTGAGCTCCTTCCAAACTATGGAGTCGACGAAGAGGGCAACTTCCACTTCCGACATTCCCTTGTCAAGCTCCAGGCTCCTGATCGCAAACTTCCCCCTACAGGGCGCCTGCTTTCACTGGAAGTCTGGAGCTCTGACACAGCTGCGACAGCAAGCCGCAAGTGGCGCCTGTCGGCTTTCGAAGTCTTCGGTGATCTTCTGGAGCTGCCAGAGGAACTGACGTTGCGGGATAACCGAGGTCCCTTTATCTTCGATGAGCGTTCGGCAACCTGCTGCCAGTTTCAAGAAATCGGCACTCTCGCTCCTAGGGCATGATGACTTTTGGCTCGTGGAAGCTTGACCTAATTTTGATTTCTTGTCCGCCGCAGGAAAAGGAGCAACGAGTCAGGCAGGTCATGGACGTACAGATGGAGGCAGCATGGGAATAATCCGACTCAGCCACTGTTCGGACGAATAGTTGATCATCAGTAGTCCGAGGATGAGCATGTCTGGTCACGTATCAGCTGTGTCAGGAAATCCGCAACATGCGGCAACAAGCCTGCGAGGCACACAATTTGTCGTCGTGACACGTCGTGACAAACACGTTGACGGAGTGCCTACACTCGTGTGAGGACTCGGAGGAGCCCGCAGCTCCGGAACCCGAGAGCGGACACGCGTCCGGCAGCCCGGTACAGCCATGAAGCCGACGGGCTCCCCCCCTTCTCGGCCTGCCCAAAGCAATCGAAGCCAGAAGCCCCCAGCCAAAGCCGCCAGAAGTCTGAGGAGTGCCCTTGGGAGCCTTGGGTGCCCCAAGGATGGGTCAATTCCGCAGTGTCAGCTTGCAGCAGCTTGCAGCAGCTTGCAATTGTGACGCTTCTGACACGTGGCAGCTTAAGACCCTGCCCCCAATGGGGGAGCCCCCATCATTCCAAGCTGTCTTTCTCTCAGGCAACCCACAGCATTCAGCTGCCTCTCAAGCCGCACAAATGCCTGGGCAATTCCCACAAACTTGAAAGTACATCGATGCAGCGAAGATGTTCAGCGGCGAGACGCGACCGTTGCGCCCCCGATCAAGGAGGTCAAGAGCCCATCCCAGTCTGAGCATTACAAGACTTGCGGTGGACCAAGCATTCGTACAAAACAAGGGGCGCCACACACAAAGCGCTTCGAGCATTTCGAGCCTGTGACGGTCTCAGAGCCTGCACACAAGACAACCCAGGTCCAAAGGTATAGATTACAGATGGGCCGGACTTACTGCGTAGGAGCAAGGCAGGAAAACCAGCAGCAACGAAAACAGTGCCACATGGGCTGGAAGCACTGCCCACATAGGCCATGAAGAAGAAGAAGAAGCAGCGGCAGCGAAGCATTTTCTGCCCTCATGTTTGCACTCGTTCTTGAATGAACACCACTCGGTGTTCATCAATTCTGCAGGACACCCCATCTGCTCCCGATCTCCGCCAGCCAGGCGAAGCAGTGCAGCGAGTAGGCCAGCTTCTGGATTCCCAGTATTTTCCGCACTCTTACGTCTTCAGGTTCTGGTGCAGATGCCTCCAGCCCCGAACCTGCAATGGCAACTTTCCTGCATGATACATGCTGCCTTTGTCTATCGCGTTCTGCATTGTCGTCATTGTGTCATGAAGCAAAGCTCCTCTTTTTCCAGTCAAGGCTCCCGCACACGAGCGAGCGAGGAAGAGCTACAGACATGAGGCCATTCGCAACATTGCAGAGTTTGGCTCGCAGCTCGGTTTTTGGCGCAAGGAGACACCACTCCCGCACAACCAGCCGCAGAAGGAAAGACCGCCGCTGGCCTTGGACGATCCGCATTCGAAGTGCTGTCCTAACAAAGGACACACCCATGGGCTCCATATCCATTGGTCGAGGCTACGAATTTGCTCCGCGAGGGTTAGGTTGTTGTGCCTCTGAGGGTCTGGTGGTTGCTCGGAAGAGATGCTCTCTGCTGAGCCCGGGGATGCCTCGGGGTTGTGGCCTCACGCCCACAAGGCCAACAGTACTGTAGAGCAGACGAGCTTTGTGTCGTGTCTGTACAAATTTCGTGTGGTCTGCCTCTGAATTGTTGGTCTAATTCATTCTCCACGTTCTCTGGCCACAATGGTTGGGTTCACTTCATTAGTTCTCTCGCCACAGCCGCTTGTGGGTGTGCAGGGTGTGCATATTGGTGCCTAGGAGGTCGGCCAGGTGGTGCTAAATGGAAACCGCCGAAGAGACGACACGCAGTCGACACGCCGATGGCAGGCACAGGGACGGTCCAGCATCGTCCTGTTCCGGAGAAGGTTGGGATGCACTTGTGAGATGTCTGCTTGCATACATGTGTGTTGGCAGTATTGGGACAATTGCTGGCTTGGCTGCTCCAACCTGGGTCAATTGCGAAGCGAAGAAGTCAGGATTTTAAGCAGGATCCAGCATGTGCCTGTTACCAGTGGGGCCCATGACACACCTCTGTCTCTTGAGAACACGTGACAGCAATTCAGCCTGTGGACGCACCAGGCCACCATTGTTGCAACGCTTTCCTTGCCGCCTCAACATGAGAATTGTACAGATCGATGAGGTCACCATCTGTATCAGGCTTAAGACCAAGATTTCCGGATTACTTCGGGCCTTGTTCTCCTTCCAGGGACGACCCTGAGACCGAACAGAGAGATGGTGGTGCCATTAGAGACTCACTCGCGTTCTTGCTGAACAGGTGGCCCAAGAGACTCTGCCAGCTGAAGGCCGAGAAGCTTGATGACGTTTGCGTGCTCTTGCAAGATGTTGCAAACGTTTCTCAGGGCTCGACTAAATTGCATCTCTCTAGGTACTCTAGGTGCACCAGGACGGTCGTGTCTGAACACTCAATTCCGCTTGGATGTCCGTCATTAACACTTCTCAATCTCAAGCATTCCTACAAGAAACGCCTTTGGCGAGCACCGCTCCGAAAAGGCCCTGGTGCGGTTTTAAGCCTGTGGAATCTGGACCCTTTTGCCGTCCTAGTCTTGACATCACACTGTCAACACGTCCGCTTAGCGTCAGACCGAGAGTCATCTTCAATCAATCAAGTGATCTCTGGACTCTGGTGCCTTCCGGGTCCGGCGACTCGCAGCGGCTGCGCGGCTGCCTGGTGACCACACAGTGCAGTTGTTCTCCTCTCCTTCGGAGCTTTGAAGTTTGCCGTCTGCCCAAAAGATGCTTTTGCAGCCGAGAGCTGCTGTTCATCATTAGGCCGGTTATTCAGTTGACATCGTTTTACGCGATCCGAAATGGGACAATCTATCGGCCCACGGCCCGAAAGGTCGAAAGCTCGCGAGCTCCTCCATCGGTTTCTGGTCGCAGGATTGTCGCAATTGCGTCGCAAGGGTCGAGCACAAGCGGCGTTCGTTTGAAGCGATTGCCACAGGCATAAATCACACTGAGATGCTCATTCCAGCAAATGGGTCAACGTGTTAGTTAGTTTTAGTTGCTTCTCAGCTATGCAAAGGAGTGGCCACGCCAAGCATGTCAGAGCTGAACCTGATGGCATGTGAGGACTTGTGCTGCCTTTAGCACAGGCGCAGCAGAGGAGGGTCGGACTTTGAATTCGGTCCAGGACTGCGGCCGCCGCTTCAACCCTTCCAGCCTGGAAAGGCATCGTGCAGCTCTGTGCTTAGCAACTCCGCTGTGCAACAGTCGCGGAGTTGGTTCTGCTGTCCCCTCAGAATGTTGATGTGCGTTGTGCGAAGAGTCTGACGCTTGCAAGGTCTGCCGGAGCGTGTTTGGCGGCATGCGCATGAGATCGACCTTCGAATCTCAGAATCAGCGGCTGCGGGATGTCAAGGATCGCAAGGACGACACACAGCCCGGAGATTCAATCACATTGAATTCACTGATGTGGCTTTTCATAGATCATGGACGTTGCTGGATGCTGCTGCTTTGCAGGAGCGCGCGAGTGGCTCTGGTGGTGTCCTAGCAGGTGATGCCGGCCGCTTAGCCTCCTGGTCGACCAAGCAGGGACACGCACAGCCTTGCAGAGCCTTGAAACTGACATTGTCGCCCTGTCCATGCCTGCATATTTCAGAGAGGCCGCTGGACGGCAGGATCGGAGGACAAGGACAACCTCAGACGCGCTGGCCGAGGTACAACTGGTTGTTTCGCGGAATTTGTATGCGAATTGAAGTACTACTTCGTTTTTGAGGCCGGCACGCCCGTGGCACAAGCTAGGGCAGCTAGGGCCACCTATGCGGCGTTGCTTGGACTGAAAATCCCGGACTCCAGATGTCAGAAAGTTGGTTGCTCCTCGTGTTGGTTCCCGTGACAGGATTGTGTGTGCCGACTTGTCCAGCTAAAGATGGAGAGATACTGTATATGCATAGCCGGATGGTGGTTTGCCGCTGAGAGATCAGAGCTGCCGAGTAGCAGAGGCCAGGGCCTGCGCGGCCCGGTGCGACGCAGGCTCCGTCCTGTTTCCTGCAGAGAGATGCCAAGGCTGCTTTTTTTTCTGCCATGCATCCTTCGAAGCAGCAGCAGGAGTGTCCACAAAGCACAGCTCTGCCTTGCGAGCAGGCCGGAGTTTGACTAAGTCAAGTTCATTAACCAAGTTGATTGACCATGTCCGCGCACGGTTTGTTGATGATCGAATGGGAGCCTCGTTCCATCTGTGTGTAGGATCTGCATAATATGCACCCGTACGACTGATCGAGAGAATTAGTCAGAATGGCATGGCAAACATGGCATGGCATGGCATAGGCGCCACATTCAGGTCGAACAACGACTGGCTCGCAGCAAAGCTGTCGCAGAACGGGCACAGGGAGGCCCTACTAGTGCGAGGGCCTGTCGAGAAGTCCGTCTACTGCGAACAACCTGTCTTAAAAGATCTTAAAAGTAATTTGTCTCTTCGTCTCGCGCGACTAGTTCCGGTGCTGCACAGCTTCGGCTTCTATGGGTCCTCGTGCTGTTACGGTCAGTTTCGACTCCGCGACGGTCAGCTCTGCGAGAGTCTCTTCGAGATGTCCCCAGGCCTGTCACTGACTTGCTGTGAAACAAGCCAAACGCTTCTGTCGCTGCGCTGCGCTGAAGCCGCTAAAGGAAGGAGGATCTGCAGAGCGGCCCTGGCCCTGGCCCCGGCCGCTTTCGAGGCGAAAAGCCACAGGCCCGGCCTTGTTGTCGCTTCGCTTGTCGCTTCGCTTTTCGCTGTTGCAATTTACAGGATGGAACACCGTACTGGAACTGAACTTCGCAAATACGCGGAAGTATACTAACACGAATCCAGCGCAGGTTTTGGGGTCCAGGGCCGGTCCAAATTTCCAAGGAGCTTTCGTGACGTTGTTCTGCAGTGCTAATGAGAGTTGTGTTGCAAGGGGTTGCTGCTGCTTGGCGAGCCCGCCTGGAGATCAACATGCATCCAAAGTTTTGAACACAATAGTCAATAGTCATATATGAACGAAGATAGTTGATCTGCAAGGCTTGCCAGCAAGTTCTTAATTAAACCGCACAGAATCTCGGAATCGCACTCTGGCTCGCAGTAGGACGATGCTTCCATTGTGTTCGACAGCAGTGTTGCAAGATGTTTCAAGTCCACGACGGAGGCTGATCAGGACGTTGCTTTGACGGTGACTGTTGATGCAGCACATCAGAATCCTCATAGGTGCTATGTGTGGGTTTTAGCATCAGATGCTCCAGGTGTGCCAAAATGTGCATCCAGCACAAAGCGCTGCGAAGCGGCCAACTTACAGTGCGGGGCACGGTTTTCGGGGCCTTAGGTGCAATTTGTGTTTTGTACATCTTTGTACATTTTTTAAGCCGCTTCCCGCTTCCCTTGCCTGCGCAAGGTCGCCAGAGCCTCAACGGAACTCCCCACGAGGCGGGAGTCTCACAGCTCCACGCTCCAAGCATCTCGGATTCACCGCTATCCTTCCAACAGAATCGAGGAGTTACAGGTTGCCTGATGTTGCCTGATAGCATCTGAAAGCATCTTATACTGTGGCCATCGATAGCCCAAGCTGAGCATGTTCGCAAGAAGGCGTCTGCTTCACGGCCTTCGGGAAGGGCGAGCACAGAGGCAGAGCCAACGTTAAGACTGGGAAATCTCGGATGAGAATGCGGGGTGTGGCAGGCAGCGCCCACATCACCAGGTGCCAGCGGTAGGCGTGCCAGATGCTCGGCTTGCTGACATCTCGAACTGGGTAGCTGTCCCAAAGGGGCTGATTCTGAGTGCTTTGTCGACTGAGCCGTTTTTCTGGTGTTTGAACGGCTGAGGCGCGGCAACAAATCGAGAGTGGAAGGCTAGATGCGGTGAATGTAGAGAACGGAAGACTCTAGAGGAGACGAGGCAGAAAGAGGGACACAGAGACGGATCGATGATAGCCGCTGAAAAATACACGGAGGAGAAGGAGGGGGCACAAAGATAGAGCGAAATGTGCGATGCACCCCACTCCCCAGCTCTGCTGCTGTGGAGAAGGCAAATGAAAGGAACATCACTTGCACTTTCTTGTTCTTCTGTTGGTGATCCGGCGCAACAACCAGGGCAGTTCCACACCACCTCGCACGCGGCAAGACAGGTTCGTCCTGGCCTCAGGCAAGTGAGAAACGTGTCTGTCGAACATGTCAGTCAGCCAGGGCAAGGTCACTGCTTGAGTTTCGGAAGTGCTACGCTTGAGAGCATTTTGGGACCGCGCCGTTGTCGAACATCTACTGATTGCAGTGTTTGGTGCTGTGTTCTGACACGAACAACGTTACACAGGAGAGAAAAGGCAACTGTGCTGCGGCATGGTTCGACACGCCGGGATTGCAGGACAACAGATGTCCACTATATGGTCTTTCCGCTTTTGGAGACTTCTACAAGCGCAAGTAAGGTGAAGAGCAGTGCTTCATCGACATCTGTGCGAAACGCAGACGGAGGCATCCTACACTCATATTTTTTGTCGCGGAGTTCGATTCGCGGGACGGAGATGATAGCTGGTCTCCACTGTGAGGCCTCGGTTCCGGCAACATGGAGTCTGCCTGGCTAGAGTTACATAATTAGTCCGCCTGCAGACTTCAAGCCTTTTGCAGGCTGGAGTTGTTGTTTGATGACCAGTTTGATGTGTTGCAAGGCTCATACATCGGTCTGTCTCGGAGATTCTGACACCACGATCCTCTCAGGCAGAGCATGGCATGACTGCATCACTCCACTGGAATGGTCGCGAGGACCCTCAGAGTAAGCTGGACCTGTTGGAGCAGGAGCTTCCGAGGGGGGAGGCATCGAGTGTGCGCTCCGATTCGAAGCAGAAATGCTAGGCCGCACGCACGACTGTGAACCCCCGCCCACACCCACGTGGCCACACACCCCCACGCACAGGCGCGTGCACGCACGCATGCACGCTGCCTGAGGCAGAAATTGCGTGCACGCACGCAGCCATGCTAAACGCTGGCCGCTAAACCCTAAAACCCTAAAGCAGGAACCCACAAACCTAAACCCTAAAGCCGAAACACTAAACCAACCCGTCAACCCCTAGACCGCCAACCCCTAGACCGCCAACCCCAAACCTCCAACCTTTTTCGCGTCCATAATTAATGGAATCGCGCGCACGAAACCTAAACCCGAAACCTTAAAAGCCTGAGCCCTAAACCCTGAACCCCCAAGCCTAAAAGCCTACAACCCTGAAGCCCTAAAGCCTAAAGCCTGAACCCAAAACCCTAAACCCTAAACCCTAAACCATGAAGCCAAAAGACCCTAGAACCTAAAACCCCATAAACATACAAAACATAAGCGCTTAACCCTAAAACCCGAAAGCCCTAAAAACCCAAAGCCCTAAACTGCAGGCCCGAAACTCTAAATCTTAAAAACCCCAAAACCCAAAACGTAAAACCTGCACCCAAAACCCTAAACCCTAAATTCTAAAAGCCAAAAGCCTTGAACCGTAGACCCTCAACCCTAAACCCTAAAAGTAAACACGAAACCCTAAACCCTAAGCCCTAAACCCTAAAACGTAAACCCTAAACCCCTAAACCCTAGAACCCTAAAGCCTGAACCCACAACCCTAAACCCGAAACCCTAAAACCCTAAAGCCGTAAACCCTGAACCGAAAACCCTAAAGCGTAAACTAAACCCTAAACCCTATAAACCCTAAACCCCAAAACCGTAGAACCCTAACACCTGAACCCGCAACCCTAAACCCTGAACCCTAAAACTCCAAAGCCTGAACCCAAAACCCTAAACCCTAAACCCTGAAACCCTAAACCCTGAAACGCTAAAAGCTGAACCAAAAATCCAAAACCCTAAACGCTACTCTAAACCCTGAGCCCTAAGCCCTAAATTCAACAAGAAAAGCCGTAAACCCCTGACCCTGAACCCTAAACCCTACACCCCTAAACCCTAAACCCTAACCCTAAAACCTTGAAGCCTTAAAACCTTAAATCCTTAACCCACAACCATAAAAACCCGAAGCCCTAAAACCCTAAACCCTAAACCCCAAAACCTTAAAACCTGAACCCAAAGCCCTAAACCCTAAACCGTAAACCCTAAACCCTAAAACCCGAAAACCTGAACCCGCAGCCCTAAATCCTGAAACCCTAAAGCCTGAACCCAAACCCTAAAACACGAAAACCTGAACCCTCAACCCTAAACCCAAAACCCTTAAACCCTAAAACCCTAAAGCCCTAAAGCCCTAAAACCTAAGCCCTAAACACTACAACCCTAAAACCTCAACCCAAACCCCGTAAAACCCTAAAACCTGAACCCAAAACCCTACACCCTAAATCCTAAACCCTAAACCCTAAAACCCAAAAACCTGAACTCACAACCCTAAACTTAAACCCTAAACCATAAAACCCTAAAGCCTGAACCCAAAACTCTAAACCCTGAACTGTAAACCCTGAACCCTAAACCCCAAAACCCGAAAACCTCAACCCAAAGCCCAAAAGTGCAAACCCTAAAGCCCTCAAACCTGAACTCAAAATAAACCCTAAACCCTAAAACGCTAAAACTCGAACCCACAACCCTAAACCCTAAACCCGAAACCGCAAGCCCTAAAACCCTAAAGCCGTAAAACCTCAACCCAAAACCCTAAACCATAACCCCTAAACCCTAAACCTTAAAACCCAAAAACCTAAACCCGACATCCCGAAAACCCTAAAAGCCTAAGCCCTAAGCCCCTGTATCATATAAATATAAACCCTTATCAGATTCCTGGGCGTGTATTTTTTTCACCCCCCTGGCCCCCCCATGTCTAATCAGATTCGGGCATACAACTTTGGTGACCGTGTTTTTGTGGTTTAACGACTAGGTTTAGGACTTCAGGTTTAGGGTTTAGTATTTTCGGACTACTATTTCTAGATTCGGCAAGGAATGGATTTGTTAACGGTATTTTTGTGGGTTCGACGTTGTGTACTCATTCAGGTGTGATATAAGATGCGCGCGACAACATAATATCACGCAAAACTTAATGCCGTCCAACTGTGAATGAAACTCGTGGTTGTGAAGGAACGGCCTTTTTATTTCTCAATGTTATGGGATTCTATTTTAGAGTGGGTGGGTGTTATGTCTTAACCGTGAATGTAACTTTAAAGCTGCTCGATCCGGAGCTGCTGAACCCTAAACCCTAAAGCTTAAACCCCAAAGCCCTGAAATTTGAGGAGTGCGCACCGGATGCAAAAAGAGTGCGCACTGGATGCTGATGTGGGAGTGCGCATTGGATGCAAATCGGAGTGCGCACTGGAGCCCCCTGCCCTTCCGAGCGGCCAGAGCTGCCACTGTCATATCTTGTAAGGCTAAGTGCTTTCTTGTTTTCAGGAAGTCCAAGAGGCTATTCAAGCCATGACAGAGCCCAAACCCGAGGACTGAACATAGCATGCGAGAGAAGCGGGAGAAGTTGAACATGCCTTCAGGACAGTACCGCTGCGACAAACCTTCAGGAAGCTCGACCTGTCCGACCGCCCGATCTGTCCGGCTTGGTCCGATGAGACCTCGTTGCCAGGCCTTGCCGAACTCCTCCCCTCAACACGGAGGTCTGCGCGGTCTAGAGGCGCAAAGCATGTTCGCGTAAATCCTGAGACCTCCGAGAACAACTGCCCAGGAGCGTGTGACTCTCCTCGAACGGGCACGGCTTGGAGTGAAGATGGGTCAGCGGCCGCAGTGCGCCACTCGGTCCGCCGGTCCCAGTAAACTCCGTGCATGGCTTCGCCGCGCTTCGCCACGCCATGGCTGCCATGGACTAAGGCAAGCCTTGGCTGGGTCAATGTCGGAGACGCTTTTGCCCTCCGACCTTCTGCCACAAACCTAGCAAACTTCGCTGCAAGGGACTGGCTACATTTCTGTTCTCGGAGAAACGATGTGGAAAGAGTGCGACGAGTTGACGAACTTGAACAACCTGCTCGAATCTCGCAGCCCACGGTACTTGCAATGCGCTGCAACTTCTAGACTAGACTCATTCGACTCGAAAGAGGCCTGCTGGACTATCGGTGATATTCTCATATGTCATTGTCGTCTGTGACGCAAAGGTCAGATTCGATTGCTTCCGCTTCTTTCACTGCCTCTTCGCAGTGGACACCTGCCGCCAGACCTTCGTTGACTGACATGACTCAGGTGGACTGTCTTAGAACTGATTCCATAGCCCCAGACTTTGCTTCGCAATGCAGCCGACACACAGCAACCATGAGCTTGCAACAGGCTTCAGTGCAAGCTGCAGGCGGCTTGGCGCTCAATTATGACATCATATGACATCCGACACATCAAACCTGTTTCTGCGCCAGATGCTGGTCTGCCCGGCCCGTGTGTCCTTGCACGCTATTAGGTTTCCGCACCTGAAATGAAACGGGCTCTTGTCTTTGTCTCATCTGTTACGCAGAATCGGACTCGAGGGAGGAAGACATCGTAGTTTCTTTTTGCTGTGATGTGCGGTGTTTTGCTGGTAGCGATACATCTGTTCATCTGTTCCCGAATAATCGAACCGGCATCTCGAAGTCAATGACCCTGCCCAAAAGCTGAGCCTGCCCGCGTGCTTGACGAGGCGATGCCCAAATTACGTCAAGAGTGCAGAGCGAAAGACGAGAATGCCACATGAAAGAAGGGTGCATCCAAATGCTTGATTTTCGAAGACCCGAAAAGGTATTCGGAGGGATGCAGAGATCGTGTCGGGACTGTCCTCCTGCAAGCCTTTGCCTTCACTGTACCGAGGCCATCCAGATGTCCTGAGCAGAACGCAGCCTGCAGTCCCATCCATGATTGAGGAATCGAGCTCAGCCCGCTTTTCTTCCGTTTTGGCATATTGGGCCTATTGAGTTGAACAACTTGTGACCCCCTGCTTGATGTCCGAGCTCTAGCCGGGTTCAAGATGTTGAAGCACAGAGGCCTTTCTGATCCTCCCTTGAAAAGCCATGCCCTTCGCGGATGTGGCTGCGGCGTGGCTGGGATACGCAGTCATCGCAGGAGCGTGTGTTGTGAAGCTTCCGCAGATCTACTTGATGGTAAAGAACCGGAGCGCAGAGGGCTTGTCTGAGACTTCAGCAGCGCTCGATGCCATAGCCGCCAGTTCCTTCTCCTACTACAACTTGCTCAAGGGATTCCCCATATCTGGCTGGGGCGAACAAGGGATAGTTGCCGTTCAGGCCACTGTTGTCCTACTTTTGATATGGGTATACCGTGAGGGAATCCGACTGAAAAGGCGATTCTGTGCCTTGGTGGCATGGTTGGCCATGAGCATGCTTCTGCTCAAAGAAGGCCACAAAGAGGACTACAAGTACATTCTTGTGATTCTGGGAACCTCACCGACTTTCATGACTGCAGTTTCGCGAATTCCCCAGATTTTCCTGAACTGGCAAAATGGTCACACTGGACAGCTGTCGGCCATTACTTTCTTCTTGCAGTTTCTGGGTAGTGTGGTGCGCTTTCTAACCACGCTGCAGATCATGGGTAAGGACGTGCTGTCCTTAGTATCGCATGCAACAGGAGCCATTTTCAACCTCATTGTCGTTCTACAAATCTATTCGCACAGTACTCCGTCTGACGGCAGAGCTGCCAGACCTTGCAAAGCAGTGGCTATCGTGATGGCCACTGATAAAGAAGTGTAGCTGAGTGCTAAGTACTATGCCTTGTCGACGACGTCGACCCTCGACTCTAGGACATAGTCACGAGTCAGGTTGTCTCATCGCTTTGTGTATTCTCTGCAGCATGGAGCTCATTGCGGATATGTCAAAAGGGCCACCTCAGACTGCTTTTCTTCTGGCTAGGATCCCGGCCCCTCCTTTTCCACATCTTGTGCTGCATGTTTGAAATAGCAGCAAGGCGCCGCTGTCCAGCCGCTCCCGCTACAGAGTCATTGAGGCGCGACGCACAGCAGTTGAGTATTCGCTGCTCAGCTACTCGCCGTGATTCTGATGCAGGCAAGCCATGCAAGCCCTTCAAGACGAGCCAGCTATCGGTCAGTGGAGCTTTCAGGAAGCGTCACTCGCATACTGGCCTGAAGGGCATCCCTAGAGTTCAAGTTGCAGGACAGGCTCCATCCAAGCAAACAGTTGGCGCATCGACAGGGCTAAGGTGCCCTGAATCCAACTGTGCTTGCTGTTCCCTTTCTGTCCCGCTTCGCAGGCTGCCTGTCAGGCGGCGAGACTCTGAGGACTCTCGGTCATGCTCCTGGTGGACGAATTTCGTTTACAAGCTTACAAGCGCCAATGCCAATGCTCGTACAGCTGTGGTTCTTCTCGGCTCTTTTGCGGGAGTGTCCAACATGTTTCACTATCTTATGAAGAACCAGGTGCCAACATATGAAACGCATCGTTGTAGCAACAGCCACCGTTGCCATGGATTTCGATGAGCTGGATCAGCTGGACCCTGTGGAGCTTCCAGATGACAGAGAGTTCTCCATCTTGATCTGGGGCGCAACAGGTCCGCTGCGAGCTTGGAGAGAGCGACGCCAGTCTCTAGCCAATGCTTCTAGGATTTTTCAGAGCTGGTTCGAACAAGCACCACAGGCTTTACCGGAAGCCTCATGGTGGAGCATCTGGACTCCATGGCAAAGGAACGCGGACTGACATGGGCCGTCGCGGGGCGCAACCTGGGCAAACTCCGGTGATCTGGCCACATTGATAGTAATAGCCTTGTGGTCTGATATGATGAGTGTTTCGTAACGTTATGTCCGACTGTCGAACGGCCCAGAGCAAAGGAACCTGGTGGCGCATTGCAGAAGCAAACCGGGGCTTGTTCATGTAACAGGAGCAACTACATTCTCCGACGTGGTTGCGAGATCCCATGCTGCTTATATGCACTCAGCTACGAGTGCATTCCGGGGAACGTGGCGACAAAGATGCGGTACAGCTTCCTGTTGGAAGTTGCAAGGGTGCAAACAGGTCAGCTACGCTGGCTGACCGTGCTTACAGCGAAGGTTTGCGTGAACTGTTTTCTTCTCGCTTCGGCGGCCGACTGTGCTGAAATTACTGGAATAGAGGCAGAGGCAAAGTAAACGTGCGAAGGAAAGGTTTCAATGGCTCTCAAGCTTCTCCACTGCTGTGGCCTGCCATGATTCTGCGGAACTCAGTTTTGGTAGTCTTGAAGTCCTTGGCAAGCGCATTGAAACGTCGGAGCTGCGGACTCTGGCGAGAGTGTGATGCACGTTCCAATCACTGAACATCAGCTGTGGCGCAGCACTGCGCAGCATGCTTGAATGAACATAACACCAATCCAGCTGCTGCCACCTCTCTGCATGCTCTTTGTCAGCTATCTTGGCACGTTGTAGCTGAGGTTGTTATCTCAGCCGTTGGGCCCTATTGCCTACTCGGCGAGGCACTCTGACCTCTAGCCCAAGCCAGTGTACAACTGCTGCTTCAATCCCTTTCATCGTTCACTCATCAGCAAACGCTATGTCAGGCCGTCATCGAGGCGTGCGTGAAGGCCTCCACACATTACATCGATGTATGCGGTGAATTGCCATGGATGTAGCCTTTTTGCATTCGGATCGCAAAATGTAGGTACAGATCGTCACATTGCCAAGTTCACCCCTGTTCATCCCACAAGCCTGGCGCAAACAAGGAATCACGGCAAGCCAAGCTCAAAACACAGGTACGATGTCGTGCAGAAGTATCATAGAGAAGCGCAAGAGACTGGCGTTTCAATTGTCATATCTGCTGGCAATGTGAGCTGCGCGACTCAACTTAAGGTTGATGCCGATATTCCTTTTGAACACTTTCTCAAGGCAAATGCTTTTGCAGAATTGAGGCGTGCCAGAGGAAGTGCTGTGCTACAGCTTGGTGCGAGAACTTGGCCCATTGCAATCTTTCCGCGTCTCTGCCGCAACCTTGAAAGGGTCCACACATGATCGTTTGCCTCAAGGGTGTGGACGCCACGACTACAGTCTTAAATTGTTTTGAAGCAATCTGAAACTAGTTTTCGAAAGTCGGAGCTGCAACTGGCACACTTCAAGGATCCGCACGTCTAGGTGTTGAGGATTCGTCGGCTTCTTGGTAGAACAGCATTTGTGAGGACACTCACATGGCCACATGCTTGGGGCTTAGGGCTAAGGTTTTCTGGATGCTGACCAAGACTGGTTGCGATTAAACTGAGAACAGCAATGCTGTGGAAGACCCATTTCCCGTACTACTCTGGTACTGAACAGCTGCAACATGCGGCAACCTCTTGCCGCTTTAGCTCTGCGAGTTCGAACTACAGACTCACTCCCCACGACGGAAGTCCGTCCAACATCTTGCCGCTCGAAGGTTCGAGTTCCATGTGCATTGTGCCAGCAAATTCGTACTCAACCTGCGGAGGGTACTGAAGACTGAAGTTGCCGGCCAGATGAAGCGGCACAGATTTTTGTTTTCCAAGGCGAGTACTTCAGTCAATACGGCGGAGTCAGCGGGGGCACTCTTCAGTCACAGGTTGGAGGGACCCAAGCATGGTCTCGTTCCCGTCGACTCGGCCAAGTCCTGCAAGGCGCCTCCAAGAGATGGACGCCACGAAGATGAAGATCCGTTTTGCCTGGGCGGTAGCCGGACCTGCGGCACCAGGTGGAAAACACTCCTGAATTCTGAAACTTCAAGCGTGGATGGCATGTCTGCCAGGCCAGAAGATCTGGACTGCACCACAGTGGAGGTTGAGTCTCAGACCCGTTTCTCGTTGAAAGTGCCTGGGAACATTGCCAACGTCTCAGAATCCTCAAGATTGTTGCAATCCTGTTCAGGTGGATCCGTGGTTTCCCCACCTGTTCCTTGCACCAGCCTACAACAGCCTCGTTGCCTCCAGAGTGGTGCGGCGAAGCTGCCAGCTATTCGAGCAGAGTGGCGAATTGATCTACGGAGAACGGCTGAGTGTGGTGGTCCGTGAAGCGCAATTGCAGAAGTCTGTCGCAGAAGGGCTGCTGCAACAACTGCAGCCCTCAGGAGATGCTGTGGAAAGAATCCGCGTGGCACGCGAAAGAGGGGAGGCACCGTGGCCAGGTCAGGGACCGCCAGCACGCACTCGTGAGATGTACGGAAGCGAGATCATTGGTGTCGCACAGGGAGAATCTGGAGACTGGGCTTATGCGCGTTGGACATCAGGTTGCGCCTACGAAGTTTCAAGCATGGCTGCTGTGTCTGGAGCTTTGATACTCGCAGAGAGGAGAGGACGTGCGCCTCGACGTCGCACTACTTCTTTTCTAAAGGTTATGAATTGTGTCAAGACCTGTCAACCTAGCACTTCAAGGAACGAGCGAGATCTGGAGTGGTGACTCCCGCATATGCTTTCCATAGCAGCCGCTGGATTGATGTGATGCTCAGTGTGTCTTGTCAGCAGTCTTTGGGTTTTGCGCCGCGATGCTACCGGGCAGAAGTTCTGAAGTCATTGGCAAGGGTCTGTTGTGTCTGCCCTCGTCAGAATCTTCCCATCTCCAGGTTCCCTTTGCCAATGGCAGTGGTAGGCACGGTACTCATACTTGCCAGTCAGTGTTATGCAATGAGCAAGACATGCTTCGCATGCCTTGTCATCGTATCATTGCGATTGTGATTATGAGGAGGATTTCCCTCAAAGTCGTTCCGGGCAAGCCAACCGATGAGGACCCGGTTTTGGATCCGAGCACTCTGCAGCGACAGAATGTGTTGGTCGTTGAACCTTTTGGTTTATGAAGGATTCTGAAATGCACAGACACTCCGTTCCTCGTGGAAGAGGTGTCGTGATACGCACCTGCTAGGCTATGAAACGGGCCGCCCGAGAAGCCTCGGCTTTTCTTGGGCTGCTAACGTGGCCGCGCTGCCCCTTAACTTTCCCGCTTGTCCGTCGATCTCATCCAATACGCTGATTCACCAGTTCACTCCCAGACACTCGAAATATATAGGCATCTTGGGCATCCGGTTGTGCAGTGTCAAATACTGGCACGGCACACGAGCCTACTTTCAACAGAAAGTGCGAATGCTGACTCTGTCCAGTTATAGCGTTGTAGAGAGGAGTTCAAGATGCAGATCACCGAGAAGAATCGGAGGATGATGCAAGGCCCGGAAGGCAAGCTGCACTTCCTGGTTTGAAGTCAGCTCGGTGCAGGTCAGCAGCGGCTTCTAGCCGGCGAGCTGAAAGCATGGGCAGCACCCTCCTTGTGCGAAAGCATTTTCTGATTGCCTTTGGCGTGGGCCATGGCTCACGGAAGCGAAGTGAAAAGCTCCGTTTGTCGGACGACTGCAGTGTAGACCGAGCCACCACTTCTTGGACCATGCAGCAACATTGCAGGCTTGCCCGGTTTATGGAATGGCATGCAGCTAACGATATATGGAGGGACAAACAAAGCTGCGAAAACTAAGGCCTGCTCGAAACTGCGCGCAGCCGAGCCAGGACGCCATTCTGCATGTTTCGGCCATTCCTAAATATGGAAGAGACGCATCGCCAGCTGCAGGGATGAAAGAAGGTCAATTAAACACCTGCATCGTGTCCATTTTAAACACCAGAGACTAACCAATGGCTTCTTATGCTTCTTGGCTTCTGAGCCCTGATTAGGCCACTCGGCTCCTTGGTTTTTGTGGCTTCCTGGCTTTGTGGGTTCGCGACTTCCTGGCTCGGCCTTCTTCCTGCTCTCTACGACCACCACGACTGCGACTAGTAAGACTATAACGACCACTACGACGACAAGTACTACCACTAGTTCTAACTGTACTACTAGTACTACTAACTACTACGCCTACGAGTGCGACTACGACTACGACTACTATTACTGCTGCTACTGTACTGCCACTGCTACTGCTACTGCTGCTGCTGCTGTCTTCCTTACCCAGGCGTCGTTTCGTTCTCCTCTCGGCTGTTGGCCTAATGCTGTTTAGCCCATTTCGATTGAATCACGCAGCAGCCTCCAGGCAGCGTGAAAGATCCGCGAAAGTGCTGCTAAAGGCGAACGTGCCATAGCTATTTCTAGACGGTTACTCGTGCCACATACATACCACAACTGGCACTAGCATGTGCATTAGCACTGAAAACCAGCACTACAGCCTGGAGCACGGACCTCGCAGGCACGCTTCATGGGCGCCCGAACCCTTCACCGGCCTCAACCTTCGCCCAGCACCCTACACGCCCAACCAAGAACCCTTAACCCTAATGTCTAAAATGCCCAAAGAACGCCCATATTAGAACCCTGAAAGCGTCTTATATACATATAGAGCCTGTAAACAGCTCGCATAGAGCCCTTTCATATTCACCAATATACATGAGTATGTGTCCACGAAGGCCGCGGGAAAGTAAGGGCGAAAGTTCCGCTGACGAAAATTACATTTTGGTGAAGAAGGTCATCCCGGGTTGAACGAATTTAGATCAACGCTCAAACATGCATGCATATATCATAGAATATCATATACATAAATATATATATATATATATACAGACACAAACACGCCTGTGCATGAAACAAGAGTACGTACATGGATGTAATATGCATGGTGTAAATGTACGTGTATGTATAGATACTAAGAATTGCATGGATCGAGGGGGCAAGCCGCCACCCACTCTTGCTCCTATTATGGCATGCGACACCAAGCCCACCTATGCATCTCTCCCCGGGAAACGGTTTGTCACAGGCAACAGGCACTCCGTCGACACGCAGCACTAGAAGTCAACCTTGTGTTGCGAGTTGCAGAGCGGACCGGGTCTCAAGGAGGTGAGAGAGATCCCCAGCCGTGTGTTTCTTTCGGAGGTCTTCGTTGCTGGGAGTCCAAGCCTGGGGTCGATGTCGAATCGTCGTGACTTTTTCCGCATAATCACGGTTCTGTTGCCATGTGGAACCTTTGATGTGAATTTTTCACGCCCCCCCAAAGCGTGCTCTGCTCGCACTGAGGGCATAGTTGGAGCTCTGGCTCTGGGCAGCTTATTTTGAGTTCTTTCGAAATGTGTTTTAGCATTTTAGTTGTAGTAGCCCAGGAGGCTTGCACGTCGGAACAAAAGGGCATGTTAATTACTTGTTCTGTCTACTTCGTGTAAACCTTCTACCTGCTCGAGTTCAGGGCATGTCAGTTGTTTTCCAGAATTTCCAGACATGCCGCACTGTGCTCAGCGCGGCTCTCGCTGTCGCGCCGGCAGCAGTGCAGGCGCCCATGCAGATTGGTGATGTGCACGCAGCGCAGGCTGCCAGGCCCGGCCTTGGCAGAGAGGATCCAACTCCACCCTGCAGGCCGATCGCTGTTTCTAGGCTGTGCACCCACTGGCACTTGGCAGATGCTGCACATCATCTAGTCCTGTCTGCGGTAAAATGGGCATCTTTGTCTTGCGCAGGATTGCAGACTCCCATGGTTCGTCTGCAGCTGCCCCAGAATGGGCTTCGGGTACCGGCTATGATGGTCTGTGTTGGCCTCTTTCCTGCATGAGGTCGCCAGCGTTGCCCTGAGCCACCCATGCCAACCAGGCTGCCCGATAACGTCAATTTTTGTGTTGAGTGCTTTCATCTGAGAACGAGAAGACGAGGATGCCATCTAAAACACAGCCACCTTGTTACAGCTTCGCCTTGAGTCACCAGGCCGTCAGTCGCATATTCAAGCTGTCCGGATCACCTAGGACATCCTAGGACCTAGGACAAAGCAGTCTGAACTGAGCCTGTAGATTCTAGCAGTACGGAACGGGGATGAAGAACCTGTAGGGGTGTGACGGAACAAGACGAGTGTGCTATTCAGCACGCAGGCCTTCGTGCTCGCACGCCGGAAAGACCAACTGCATGTCTGCCATGAAGTCCTTTCCGCAGAGGGCTATCGCCAGCCTCGAGAGACCGTTCCCCAATGCAGGTGCGTCGCGAATGTCTTCTGCTACAAGCAGCCAGCAAACGCCGAGACAATGGCAGGCTGGGCCATGGTTCTTTGTCATTGTGACAACAGGACATAATATCTCCATGAAGTGAGCAGGCGCCCTGTCTCTGTCTCTGAAACGAGAGGGTCGCCGCAGGTGCCTGTCATTCCGGCAGCACCTCCTCCGTCTCCAGCGAGCCCAAAGTATGCAGGTTACGCGGTGCTCGGAAGCGACTGCATCTCCACTCCACGACTCACCCAGACTGCTGCCAAAGGAGCTCAAAGTAGCTTGCAGCATCCAGTGGTTCAGCAATTTACACCAGTGTATCGTGTGGACCCGTCCAGATCGAATATGCAAGCTGCATCCACTCCAATGCGCGAGCGGGCGGTTTTGGTCCCCAAGCTGGGTATGAGAAAGCTTGCCCAAAAATAGCGCCATCAGTCATGTACAAAGATCGGCGGCAGCCTCTCCTGTCAGACCCCAGCTGCATTGCAACTGCCGCTTCAAAACTGAACAGACTGCTTGTGTTCATTGCTTATTTAGGGAAGCATGGCTACTGTCAGCGGTGGTCATGTCTGCTGTCAAAGAACTTGACCCTACATCGCCATGCTTCGCTGATGAACGCATAGTCTCCGTGAAGTGAAGTGGAACCCGCCTCTGGCTTGCTGGCTTTGCGCAACTGCAGATACGAAGAAAGAGCTTTCCTGTTAGAGTCACCATATCATCTTTACGTCAACTGTCCTTGGTTCTCGCCGGCACTAGAAGTCCCAAGTAGGTAGCAGCAGTAGCAAGGCAGCGTGTGATTTCCGAAGAACTCAGGGCTTCGGATCTTCAGAAGGCGGACGTGAAGTAGTCCCAACACTTTCTGCAGATAATCTCAGCATTCGCCGGGCGATGCCGTTGACTGTACGGCGGTGCGGCAAGCAGGCGTCCAGAGGGCGCGAATGATTACTGTGAGGAGGCTCCATGCCTTTTGATGTCTCAGTTCAGCGCTGCTAAGGTCCACACGTCTGCCGATAACCTGGAAGCATACCAGCTTGTTGACGATGACCTGGGTCGCTTAGTGCAGTGGACCCTCGGAAGCCAGCAGGACGGACCGAGAGACAAGCTGGACATCTTTGCGTTGAAGAGTTCTTGCGCAGGAGCTGTGGGAAGTGCGCTTCGTGTTCACGCATGTCTGTGGTCCAAACGGGGGCACTGCTTGACCCTGAGGGCATTGTTCGAATGTGTTTGCATGGGGTTGAGTGCTCGCATTAAACCCTTCATTTCCTTCATTGCGACCGTCGTTTGACAGAACGAGTGGATGGATTGAAAAGCAACAGGCCTCATTGTGAGACCCTGGAAGGCTGAGTCTGAGATTCATCAATCCCTGCAGAAAAAACCGGAACTTACAGTTCTCCAATCATTTCAGTCAGACCTTGGCAACTTGATTTCTACACTCGGACGTCTGCGTTTCGATCGAACTCTAACTGTGATTTAACGGTGTCTCTGGCGGTAACCCTCTTTAAGGCATCCTGGGGCGGGGCTCGGGGGACGGGCCGGGGGATCTGCGGCGGTGCGGTGCGATCGAGTTGCAGCGCAAGGGTGACAACATCTCGTGAAGCCTCTGACAGCCGAAGGTTCTCGGCTTGGGATTCGGGACGGCTGACGCCGGATCCTCATAGAAGCAGTCAAAGTTGCATGAGGCCCAAACACATCGATTCAGTTTCACCAGTCAGTCCTGAGGCGAGAATGGAGGAAGTGGACATCCTGGAGTGCGAGAGCTTAGCTGTCTGCGATGCCTACGACGGGGAAATCAACATCCTGGGACAGTCAGTCAGCAAGGACAGGTCAGGGTGATCACGTGAAAAAGCGGAATGTAGCGCAAGCCAGGGTGTCAGTAAAAGCTACGTCGCTATGTGTGTGAAACTGCACAGGACTGAGTCAGCGCTTGCCTGCATGCAGCCTGCATTGACACAAAAACGTTCATGTCCGCAGGATGGCTTGGACCTTTGCGAGTAAGGTCCTTGGTGCCCTCGGACGCGCATGCGTGGCACGACATGTTCAATTAAGCGCACGTGTGCTTTGGGGGATGGTTTCCGTTTGAAGGCAAGCCTTTGGGATTCGGATTTGTTAGTCCGGAAGGTTTTTTTCCTCTGGATCCCGCGCATCCCCAAACTAGCCCTGAAGCTATGCAAACGAACATTTCGAACAGGTACAAACCACCGTTTTCCATCCCACGCAACAGTCCTTTCTGTTCCCAAAGTGGGTGGCAGACGCAATGAGGCCGAGTTCTGGCACGTGCGAGGAGGAGTCCATAACAGCTGTGGGCTTAGATGATTCTTTTCCTGAACATTTGTACCAAAAGCTTGCCAAGGATGGTACCTTGACATCACCCGAGGCCATGTACGATTCCTCCCAAGGGCTTCTCAGGTTCACGGTCGATTCACGGAGATGTCGCAGGGCTCCCAGTGGCTTCCTGTGTCCCGCTGCAAAAGATCTTTCAAGAGCTGTGACTGGCATCTGTTTTGGACAGCGTTGAACGTCGCAAAGACTTATCAGCAGTCACGGGAGACATCGTGTTTCCGATGCCCAGACTGGTGACTGTCACTCGGATGCCGCATCTTTTGTGCAATCGCCGGAGATGTTGCAGCTTTCGCACCATGTTACCTCGTCGGTTTTCAAAGGAGGCAAGGCGAGAGAGTGCCGCAAACATAAAGGCCCCGCCGACCAAAACAGCATGTCGCTCCCGAGATGCATCTTCACTTTTCCAAGCGCTTGCCGAACTCGATCTTCACATACCTTGCAGTGTCAATCCATGTCATTTCTGTATTTCTTACAGGGCGACCTGATCTGCTGCTGCGGCCAAGGAAACAGCATCAAACTGAGGAGCCGCAAATCGCATGCAACCGGCAGGGAGTCGATTAAATACTGTCGCCGTTTTGGACCAGGCCCGGACAGCACGCAAAAGTCGGGAATGCTCGCTCGAGATTTTGTAGGTGCAGGCTGCAGGTGCCGCCTCGTGAAGTTTATGTCGCACCATACCATGAACCCTGCGTCAGGCAAGCAAAAAGCCTTCTTTCAGGAAAGCCCTGATTCATTACATTGAACGCAAGACAGCGTCTGACCTTGGCTCCACCATGTCCAAAGCCAGACGCCAGGTGAACGAACTCTTGTGGGTTCCACTGTTGGTATAAGATAGTAAATTACAGTGCAATCGCATGCACGGTGGCTCGCATAGTGCCCATGATCATCTGCAAGCCGGTCTCTGCAGTGAAAATGCAATGCGGGTCTGGCAAGCAGGGCACACACAGAGTCCCTACACCTAACATACATACATACATACATACATACATACATACATACAATACATACATACATACATACATACATACATACATACATACACACATACATACATACATACATACATACATACAGACATACATACATACATACATACGTACATATACACACACACACATCCACCCACCCACCCACGCACGAACGCACGCACGGAAGCCCTGCCAGGCTGTTGTGTTGTCATGGGAAAGCCGGAGCACAAACGCAATGTTCATCATTTTCGACTAGTGTTGAACCCTCTTGCGTCGGGCAGTATGCTGGTGGAGAAGTCTAAACTCAATTTGCAGATATTCGGGGCTCCCCTGCAAGAGCAGGTGGACAGTTCCGAGTGGACATTACGAAGGAGACGCTCAGGCTGTCTCGACAAGAAGATTTGATTCGACGGGTACAGGAACTGAAAACGTTCATGGAAGGCATAGAGAGCTGTACCCTACAGTGGCTTTCGCAAACAGGAAAAGCAAGGTGCGCACCTTAGCCGGGAGGAATATCCGGACGATGCGATGCCTATCTGCAGTCTCAGGTTCGCATCGAGCTCATAAGATGCTTGATGGTGCGCCGGCGGAAGCCACGAAGAAAGGAGTGCAGAGCAGAGCTAGTGTCGCTAGAGCATGCCATGCGTCAGGCCATGCCAGTTCCTCGAGACGAGCGCCTACTTCGCAGAGATTTTTCGACCTCCTTGGCAGTAGCTGCTTGGACCGTCAATCTGCACGGACATGCGCATACGCTTCAGAGCTCAGTTCGCTTGAACCCAGACCAATCCGTGTTGACCCGAGGCAACCGAGGAAGGCAAGTCGATATTTCGGCTGCAGGGTTGCGAAGTTTTGCAATGGTGATTTTCCTCCGGCTTGCACACACACACACCACAAACACAGTTGCCTACTTGCTTGCATACTTACGTACACACAACTGCACGCACACTTATACTTGCACTTATACACACACACACATGCAAACTTGACTTGACACAATGTGTCGCAGGCCTCAAGTTGTTCTAGGAATCAGGTATACCACTCCAAATTAGGTTGAATCAGTGAGTGTCAGGAATCGGCCTTAATCCTCATGCCTCGCACATGCAGCAAATATATATATATACATACATACATACATACATACATAAATACATACATACATACATACATACATATATATATACACATGTATGTATGTATGTATGTATGT